CCTTGCTCTCCCTTTGGTCCCTCACGTCCTGGCGGTCCTCTGTCACCTCGTTTCCCTTCCTGTCCATCTAGTCCTGGAGGCCCTGGTGATCCTTTCGAGCCACAAGCCTGATAATGAAATTTAAGCATATTTGATATTTGCAGATTGCATTGAAACATACTTTTTTTTAAAGAAACAATCTATTTGAGAACTTACTTGGACCACGGCAACAATGAAGATGACCAATATGAAAGTACTGAAAAGATGCATAGACAATCTGAAATTGTCTTGTGCACAGTGGTTGATATTTTGCAAATTTTCTTAAATTTGTTGATGGTATAAATCCTTTAAATTTCATTTTAAACATTTTAATTTTTGACGCTTTCAAATGTTGCAACAATGGAATAAGAAAGGTTGCTAAAAGAGCTTTTTAGGCTTTTTTAGAAAATCATTTGCGTATAGAAATCTTACATGGATGGGACTCTTTTTATTCATATTCCTTATTTCCTTAGACAAGACCATAATTCATGAGCCATAATTTTAAAAAATCCCATGCAGATTAGCCTCTCGAATTGTTTAATACTTTGACATACGTGAAAGAAATTGCTGAGGTGTTAGCAAGAAGTCTTAATTTAGAAAATTCACCAAAAATTATAAAATGTGCCAACAAATTTTACAGTATATGAAATAAACTGTAATTAATTGAATAGAATATAAAAATTTCATCTGATATGTGAGAGAGGATCTGAAAATTTAATTGAAACCCCCTGAGAGAGGATCTGAAAAAAAAATTTAAATTGGATTTGGGAAAGAAATTTTCTGTTTATATTAGAGAGTAAAATATCTGATATGAATCATTTCGAAATTCGTGAAACAAAGCAACATTTCAAGAATTCGTCGTAAAATGATTAGTGGAATGAAGCAGAACACAACATTGAATGACTTTTAACGGTATCCATAAAAATTGAACGAACGTTTTTGATTTCAGATGAAGATCAACGGTTGATAATGAATTCCGGAGAAAAATCTAAGGAAAAAAAGTTTTGAACTTCCGAGAAATAAAAATGATTTAGAGTAGTAGAAACTATCATGTTAAAAAATTTGCATACTTAAAAGCCTGAATGGAATTTTGAACCCCTCGACAAACGTAAATATGCAATCGTGGTTATGCATATTATTTATAATGCACAACTGCTGAAGATTATTAAATTTTTCACTACTTTCTACACCAAAATACATTGTTCATTTGTCCGGAAGCTTTAAGCTAAGGTTATCAAAAAAAAAAAGTTGGTGTTCAGTAATTCGAGGAATTTCAGAAATTATTAAGGGATAATTGACCTGCAGATGACCAGAACCGACAGATCTCGAAACCGTCTATGTTTCTCAAAAGTTCAAAACCTGTTCTCCCATCCATCCTTCCGGATTGCTCAATCTTCCGTGCACGTTAAATCATTGCATAAAAAGATACGTTTAGCTTTCAAGAACACCGCAAATAATCTTTTGATGATGAATTTCGTTGCATTCGCACTAATTAATATTTTTAAAATGAGAATTGGTAACTTTCCAATTCATATCACTGCAATTTATCTTTGACACTAACAATTCACTGTGGCTCACAATGGTAATGAACTTTTTGGACTGTATGATAGCTTTTTGGCTGAGACTGATAGTTCAAGAAATTTTCGTGGAATCAATCTATGATAGTACAGTACTCGATGGATCGGTAAGGTTGACAGAAATTTTTTTTCCTAATAATGTCAGCATAAAATTAAAATTTTTTATTCCAATTTTGTTAAGGCATTGACTGCAACTTCAAGCCTATAAATTTACAGGATGATAGGAGGGACATATCATTTATAGATTGGTGCAAGCAAAAACAATCAAAATAAAAGAGAGAACTGATATCACCGAATGGACTGTTTCGGTATTTCCGACAAATCCCACACAGCCTGTTGCTTCTATCCTCCTGCCGCATCCTGTCCCCTTATACCTAATGGTCCTTTATCGCCAGCCTCCCCTGCACCTCCGATTTCTCCTTGTTCACCTGGCGGACCTTGAATCCCAGGCCCACCTGTC